ACTCTCTCTTAAATCAAAATACAAGGTCTTTCTCTAACTGACCTAGGTCCGGTTAAACTCTGTATAAATGTAACGGTCTTATAAATCTTTCTTCGTGGACACAACCTAAATCTCTACGGGAAAGCTGAGGGCCTATTGGATTATGGGTTCAATAAAGTTCTTTTACAAATTCCGCCTTTGTACCAAGTGTCCGCGTAGATCCTTACAATTTGTAGTTTATTGCATTTTCTTCGGTAGAATTTTGAGATTTAGTGGCCTCTAAGTGGGTTTGAATCGATTTATGTTTGCATCTACCGGTCAGCACCGATTTTGTATGTAGTTAGCAAGAAGCAGTTATTTCGATATTAAGTGAGATGCAGTCAAAAGTACATACATACTTATACTACCTGTCTAGTAATGCAGCAGTGATATGAAAAAAATAACTTTAAAGTTAAAACTCCTAGTAACAAACGATTCTTCTACAAGCAATATTCCAGGAGACTTTAAAAGTTTAAAAGAACCTGCATTTGTAGAGTCAGCAAGAAAAATAGGTGTCCAATTTCGGTTCAGAGCACATAAAGGAGGCTGCACCGACTCCGACTGTACTTTTATTGGTACAGTTAGTTAGCAATATGGCCAGACCTGGCGTGGAGCCAGAAGAAACTGCTCCAGGAGACATCATTGCAATGCTCTTGGTCGGCGGCAGAATTTACTTCGTAATAGTTCGTTTGTTCGGAATTGTTCACTTTCGTTTATACACTGTGGTTAAGTTGACTGTTTTGGTAGATGTTTGTAAAGTGATTTATTTTCTCTAGTTCTGATAGTTAAAATTATTATTTTTCTATCCTTTGCTAGGTATTCAGAAATACTAGATTTAAAATTCTCCATAGTCCATACCAAAACTACTTCCTTCCGCAGTCTTACACACAATAATCTTAACCTTTCATGGACTCTATCATTCACATTGTGACTTTGTATTATAATCATCGTAGAACTGCTTAAGTAAACGAATTATTATTTCTTTTCTTTTTTCGCTATCCCACAAATTTTCTTACCCATAACAATTTATAAAACTTTTAACCCAATCCCGAATTCGGAAAACAAAAACCAACTGTCGTAATATTTGATTCGGCAAGAGTTTTCCAATAAAAGTTAAGAGCGATGAGTGGTTCCGTACAAAGAAAGCTGTTAGAGCCCACCGCCATGCTAACGAGGCTCAAACTTTTCAGGTTTTTAACTTTTTAGGCGTTAACGACAAGGATTAGGGCGCTGTCATACAGGGGGGTGGAACTCTTTGGGGTGTAAGACATTTTTTATATCAAGAAATTAACTAATCTTAGGAAAGGAACTTTACAATTCATAAGATTTTCGTGTCCAGTCTGCAGCACAACCGAAACGTTAAGTTTTAAAGTAGGTAGGTACTAATGTAGATACTACTATAATTATAATAATAGTCACGTTTGAGACCCGTTGTTTGCCATATCGTCCAAAAGACCAGAAAAATATAGTCTTGTCGAATGTGTAATACAATAAGGCACAATTATACAAGCCTGAAAATAGACCATGTACCTACCACATTGATGTTAGAAGTTACATTTGCTCTGAGGCATTCGCCATATTTACCCAAAAATATTTATTTTCTGATGCCCATTTAGCGGTAATTTCTTCTCCTTCCCTGTGTTGGTTGGTACCTCATTAAAATATTTCCCCGAAACAGCATGGAATGTTTTTTCTACGTTTTCAAATTAAATTACTACCGCAAACTTTGCTTGTTACCCCGGGGAGCAACGATAACTAGTTTCTTTTTGCCTCCCTGTGACATTTCACGCCAAAGCAAAACGCGAATAATGTGTAATGTCTAAAAGTTACCTTGTTAAAACATGGCATGTTATAGTAGAAGGCATGGCATGGTAGAAGCAAGCTGAATTCCAGAGGTAGACTAAGCCCTATTCATCACCCCTGTTAGTGTTTTTAAGCTAATATACTCTAAAACTTGCTGCAGAAAATTAGCTACGTATCAAACTTTTCTTCATAGCCTGAGCGACACTATCATAGCTATATCAAATTAAAACTATTTGCCAACTTATTATTTGTCTCCAAGAAGTTTCAAACGAGATGAAACTTAGCTTATTAAAGTGTTTAATCAGAATAAACATCGAGAGCAAATCCTTGGTCGTTTTCGCTCACGAAGACGTGTTTATTTTGGAAATGGATTTCAAATACCAAGGAAAACAAAGACGTTGGCGATCGTTGATCTATTTGTCAATAGAGCCTATTGCGGACGGTATAATCACTTACTTAAACCATAAGCTAAACCTTATTGACTGATGTGATCACTCAATTCATTCATCTTTTTTCATGTTATGTACTTCCCACCCAGTTCCCTGTTTTTCTTTCTGCTTCTAATCTATACTTATAATAAATCTGTAGAGAGGTCAATTCTGTACATGAAATATATTTTCAAAATAACTATCAAGGGGTGATTAGTGATCGATACTGATGCCAAAAATGAAATCAGTAAAATTTTTGTCTGTCTGTCTGTCTGTATGTTCCTTATAGAAACAAAAACTACTTGACGGATTTTAACGAAACTTGGCACAATTATTCTTCATACTCCTGGGCAGGTTATAGGATACTTAGGAATTCCCACGGAAACAGGAATTAGCGGGAAAATCCTTTTGTATGAAAAATCTAAACCGCTTAAGTAAGACGCTTGAAATTTGGCATGTAGGTATCTTAGTAAACTTAAAGCTTAGTTACAACAGGATAGTGCAAAATTCCCACGGGAACGGTAATTAGCGGGGAAATCCTTTTGNTTGGCGTACAGGTTGATGCATTACTGAGCGCTATCTAAAAACCTGTTTGGGCGTTCGAACGGGCCCGCGATGGGAAAAAAACTTCCAGATTCCAATGCGGACCATAAAAACGTCTTGAGATAATTTCCAACCCATCCTATGCGTGCGTCCGCGCACGATTTGACCGCTCAAGTATTTAACACTCGGAGAACGCCGGATCAGTTTAATTGTATTGATAAACCTTGGGCTATTTCTACGGCCATATCGATAACCGAGTTGAGCGGTTAACGTTTGGAGATAGCTCGATTGATGTTACTGATAGCTAACTCAATTGAACCTATAAAGGCACTTTAGCAAATAAAGCTATCAGCAATTTCGAAGCAGGTACCGTAAGATGTATCGGTACTGAAAACGTTCTGAATAAAGTAACGAAGTCATCGCCTAAACAAACTAAATTATGCTCAGTAATAAAAAGTCGACCGGCCCACAATAAGTTCTGCGACAGACACGGTCAATTGATGATGACACAAGAAACACTTAAAGTGCATTCGAAACGGAAAGAAAACAAAGGCGACGCATGGGAAGAATAACAGAATGTTTAAACAAACATATCACAGCTAAGTAACCGACATCGCCCGCAGCATAAACAGCGCGATTCATTTGACAAAACCTTTCACCTGGCCGATAAGCGCTAAGTGTTGTTCCCGAGTCGATATAGTGCTCTTTTGCTCCCATTGGTTTTCTTCCGAAACCTGTAACAAATCTTGTAACAAGTCTTAGCAGATTCAGAATAAATGCATACAACATCCAGTCTAAAGGATCTCTCCTTGACTTCAAAGTTTGTACTCACCTACCTAACTAATGGACAACACGCATAAGTTGTAATATTAAGTTAAATTATGACTTAATTTAAAGTTTAGATCACACACATTACACTAGTTTTTATTTCACCTCAATCCATCCAGTATTACCGAAGATAGAGCCTCGAGAAGTTTACGGANAAGTAAGACGCTTGAAATTTGGCATGTAGGTATCTTAGTAAACTTAAAGCTTAGTTACAACAGGATAGTGCAAAATTCCCACGGGAACGGTAATTAGCGGGGAAATCCTTTTGTATGAAAAATCTAAACCGCTTAAGTTAGACGTTTGAAATTTGATATGTAGGTACCTTAGTAAACTTAAAGCTTAGTTGCAACAAGAAATTCCCGAAATTCCAACGGGAACAGGAATTAACGGGAAAATCCTTTTGTATGAAAATATCAAAACCGCGTAAGATAGATGAATGGGTAAAACGGGATCCACGCGTACGAAGTCGCGGGCGGCCGCTAGTTATGAATGTAAGTATTTTAGAGGTAGGTAAAGCTTATCATAACAGCACCTTTAAAACCTTGCTAGATAAAACACTTAAGTTTTTCTTCCAACCGCGTAACTTCGTGAGAAAATTACTATTGTATTTAAAGCACGCGGTTGAAGCGCCTTACATAATGGAACAACTCGCTAGAAAGTTGAATGTTGGTACATTTACTTATGTAGTATTCCGTACGCCGTGCAATAAATATGTGTAGTAGTATACTTACATACAAAACTTCATAAGTCAGCCCTCACTCGCTTTACTGTGGAGATGAAACGATTTTCTTTTCCTTCCCCACATGTTTTCACGTAATATGATATGTTAATGAGAATTCACTTCCATTACCAGGTCCTTTGAAGTGTACGTAGTTCAGAAAAGGTAGAGTTGAGTTTGTAGTTCTAAAAATAGTTATACAAACTTTTGTTGCAAACTTCTTAAAAATTATTTAGTTTTGTCAGAGAAATAAATTTGAGTCATTTTAATAATTTCGTGTGGGTCAAATCTTCAATTTGCCTGTGGTAAATAAGATAGAGTCGTCCTCAATACACTGCAGCGGAGACCAAAATGACCGGATGATGATAATGATCCATTTTTAATTATTACACCTCTTACTACAATTTAATTACTACCGTAAGTATAGGTAAGTACTACTTTTGGCAAGTATGCTAATTTGTATTTTACTAATTTTTCTAGACTCTAACTTCTGAATCTACGTCTTCTGTAGAAAAGAAGAGTCCAGGTATAGCAGCCTGCAAATCCGTCTGTCCAGCATCCATTTACCTCTGGCAAATTAGAGAAAATCGTGTACCTGCAGTGGTATGACACGACAGCAATCCAAAGAGCTCCAAATCTCAAACGCTACCTTCCAATTCCAGGACGTGATCCGCCTGGAGACGCAGTACTGGTCGCTGGTGGAGATCCCTCGGCAGGAGAAGGCGGAGACGGTGCCCGCGTTCGTGCTGCGAGCGTGCGCTATCATGGAGAAGACGCAGAAGTCTGGAGAAGGCGTGAAGACTTCCTCGAAGCTGGCCGAGGAAGCGGCTGACAGGCGCGAGCGGATAGAACGACTCAATGGTAATGTTTATGGCAGCTCAGTAATTTCAATGGCACAGCATTTTTTGCAGGAAAGGTCATCAGGTCTACAAAGTCAAAGTCAAAATTGCTTCATTTGTTTAGAGTAATAAATAGTTCTTACTAATCGTCAATTTGCTCTTAAGGCGACTCTACACGTCTCATAATCTTTTTACCTGACCAGCGCTTCGAGACCAACATTTGGCAAGTGCTGAGAAGAAGCGCCGCAACAAACTCAGTCACCACTGTCTGCCGGTTAATATAAATAAATAGAAATAGCAGTACATTCGATTCAGGAGCAGTTCACTGAATTTACCATGCATTCTTGTATAGTGTATAATGGGTATACAAAATTGCGTGGTATATTAAACAAGGTAGTGACGTGCTAATATCTTGACTTACAGATTACATACTTAAATACTAGTAGAAATGACTCGCATCATACATAAATTGGAATAACTTGGATTGACCAGTCCCCGAAAGCAGCGCCTGTTCACAGACATGACGAGTGAACCAGCCATCGCTTCACTCGACCATATTAGAGGGAATGTAACGACCCGCCTCACAAAATTAACTAAGATAGATCTTTACTCAAAGATAGATAGCTAACGCGTCAGAATTGACTAAGAAGAACCCAGGAATATACTACCTACAACAATAATAATCCTAGATTGTGCGAGTAGACGTGGAATCTACACATTTTAAAATTACTTATAATCTGTCCGTAGTTGTTGACCATTAGAACTTGTAAAAATCACGTAAAAATATCCTTACATACGGAATTTACTAATATCATTCAAGGTTAGATATCAAATGGGAGTTTGGTACTTTTTATTTTTAACTGCTTACGTTACCCAACTACGTGGCTAGACTGGCCATCTGCACTCGAGTAAAAAAATTAACTCGTACCCGTATGAAATACGACTGCTTAAAACTTTAACGAAGTTGGCGCGATGCCAAATTTTTATCTCACTACAAAATTCCTCCAATTAGATCGGGGTTAAGAACTGCCTTATGAATTGCCGCTTTATTATTTCAACGTAAAAATATTCCAGATACCTATTTCCTCGCTTAATGAAGAGCTTGATAAAATGCTCGCAGATTTATCATTACAACGTTCATTTTGTTTTCAAACGCAGCATATTTCACGAGTCACTTTTGTAACCCAATTTCTAAGTCTGTCTATTTTTCATTACTGCCCGTAACAAATCTCTTTGTAAATTAATTGAAGTTGGGCACCCGAATTCAAATTAAGCAGTGCGGTGGCAGAGAACCCCTTCCTAAGCACGAATTAAGCTCAGACAATAAAATGAGTTAAGCTCCACGCCGCGAGTATACCGGAAAACGTATACCTACGGTAGTACACCACTTGTAAATAATAATAAAGGGAATTTAACGCGAGTTGTGGCTTAGGTTCTAGTGAATTACTTATGGTCGTGTGTGTTTTGTGAAGTACCTACTATGTAGGGGGTACGTATGGATCGGATAAACGAATATGCTGAAGCTGAGAGAGTTGTACCAAACGTATTAAAACAAAATTTAACCACTTTGTACACTTATTTTTTTAACAAACAAGCTGCACTACTCCGAATATTTAGACTTGGTAAAGTTTAGGAAATTGGGAATATGTAATAAGATAGACAAACAGTAAATTGCTATGAATGTATAATGTTCCAGATATGACAACATCCCAGATTGAGGCGGAGAACACCCAGATGACAAACGACCTCTACCGGCTGCTGAAGAAGTATACAGGGCTCAGGAACCTCATCAGAGAGCTGAAGGTACAGCGATTAATCACAATTACACTAATCACTTTAAAATGGAAATTTGGCCGTCTCTAAGTGACGACAACGGTCCTTCAATGGAATCCGCTTTGCCGGTACTACAGACACAAGGGTCGGTTATTAAAGACGGAATTTGTGTTTCATTCACAAGGCCAAAGTTTGTGAAAGTCAACATAGAAAAAACCAGGGTGTAACTTTATTTAACTTGTTAGCTAAATACTTCACTACTTATATCGTGAAATGAAATTAATCTTGCTTTGCTAATATTATGTACTATGCTCTGTATCGTTTGCATATGATGCGGTACCATTAGTTATGACAATCCATAAGTGTCATATCCATAAGAAACCTCGAGTGGCGACCACGGGCCGAAAGACGTAGTGTGGGCAGGCCCCCCACTAGGTGGAGAGGGAGAGGCATGGGAGATCTATGTCCAACAGTGGACGTCTTTGGGCTGAAACGAACCAATGAATATAATAGAACTAAAATAATGTTTGTTTTGTGAAACTCTTACTCATCTTACATTGTTATGTCATACAGAACAATACAACTAATTTTACCTGTTCATTTCGATTAGTCAACACTATAAATACTGACTTGCTGTAAAATAGTCGTAAAATGTCGTTAACAATAATAAATGAACTCATTGCGATATTAGTGGTTACCATCGTAATATTTTAATGAGCCATTACTGGTTAAGTACATGATTTGGCACCCAGCAAGGACCAGCAAGGTTCGCCATTGACTGCCTGAAATAATAACAATGTCACAATTTTAGAACTTACTATTTTAAAACAAAACACTAAACAAATAATGGTAAAAACACTGACATTGACTTACATTCTTTCTCCACTTCTACAAATCTGTTGTTCATAATAAATTATGATAATTGATTTTGTTCATAATGAATTAGTGGTAGAGCAAGCTTTATGTTGGCCATGTAGAAATGCCCTAAGAAATTTTAGAGACGACTATGAGCTTTAAAATGCAATTTTTATATTGTCAATGACTGCCTACGGCTCCTGCATCGATAAAGCATCTGGATAGGCAGTCATTTGTTTTTATTATAACACAATTCAATAACTTAGAAAGGTACAAATTAAACATTGTACCTAGATTACGAGTAGAATTTAATCACAACTTTCTCTATACTTCCAGTCAGAGTACGTCAGCTCCAAGGTGTACCCGATGTTCCCGCGGTACACCATGCTGAAAGACATGATCAAGGACATCATGCACGACCCTGACTACATGGAGGTGTGCCATGAGGTGGACCCATAGCGCGGGGTGCGCAAATAGATGAGGAGTTCGTTCACCGACCGCCAGAGGTCGTGTCGTCGTTAGGCTTGAAGCAAAGATGGCGGACTGTCACTTCAAATGCAACTGGAAAATTAGAATTTTAAGTTATGTTTTAGAAGCAATGATTAACCGAAAGATGCGGCTTTTTAATGAATAGAAATTTCAGTTAATGATTATTTGGCAAGATGGTGAACTGATTTTCTGAAAGCCAAACCTCTACGTGTAAGGATATTTATAGAAACACAGTTATGAAGAAAAGGAACGTGCTCATTGAACAGCCTGAGAGTGGAATCAGATGCTTCGTCGATGCTCTTGAAAAAGAAAACATAATATATTATTACATATTATACTGTCTAGCAGTTACTGCTACAATTACCGCAAGAATTTTCGATCGTATTTTATGCTTCAGTGGCTTTCTATTGCATGTTCTAAGCTTTGGTGAAACGCTTTCGTGTGTGCATCATTTGGAAATCTAAATCTTGTGAAGTTTTGTGGTTTTTAATTATTTCTTTTCGCGTAGTTCGAAGAAGTTCGTTGGTTTTGAAGATGACAGTTCGATGGCGGTGGTAGGGACGAGTACTCATTTATTTTGCGCTACTTTGATTGGACTGTATCTTTAGTTGTAAGTTAGATTCGTATTTAGTGTTAGTACTCGTCGTCAATTCGATGTCGTTTGTTTCCGTTGTACATATTACTTTCCTGTATTGCTAAGTTATTTGAAGCCTATTTTATTGTTAAACTTGTTTATATTCCGATAACTGACTGTCGTAGAAAATTCTGTATAGCATTTAGATTTAGTTCAGTCTTTGTAGTATTTTTTCGTTTGCCTTGTCTAACTCGCATCGCTTATTTATTGTCTTTGTATTATTAGATTCTAGATACATATCTACTGAAAACTATCATATATCAAAAGTACATATAATAACAGATCATATCTCTTTTCTAGTTTGACTGGAATGTATGTCTATTTATTATACTATCACATTATACATTTCTAAAACGCTTGTATGTGTGTAATCTGTAACTTAGTAAATGTGCATTTGTATGTATGATGATGTTATGCCATTGAATGTGTTCAATGTTACAAGTAAAGTAATATTCATAGCTCTTTCTGCTATAATTCTATAATTTATGTACGATCCAAAACCCATGCTATTTTGTAGCCTATTTAGGAACTTTTGCGTTTGGTTTTAAAGTTTAAAAAACTTTATAGCTTTCTTATTTTATTAAGTCTTCGTGTTTTTAATTTCGATAGCAATAACGGTATTTATCAATATTATAGCTTGGCGCTTCTTGTAAAATGTCTGTTAGATATTTATAATCGCAATTAGTATAAATTAGATAAGAAAAACAAAATTGCAGTGCGTTGACGGATTTGGGAAAATCTAGAAATCGCATAATTATAAATTATACGTTTTATGTAAAAAGTTATTACTTTGTATCGTTGGAAATGTACAAACTGTGATTATATTCGAATTCTTTTGATTACTATGTCTTTTAGACAATTATTAAGGCATACTTAGGGGATATATCCTGCTTCTAATGTATGAAAACTCATAAATAACAAGTAAAATACTTTAAGTAAATTAATTTCAGATAATTGCCAAATTATGTAAATTATTATTCTAAAGTGTAATGTATACTTAATGGTTATTTATTTAAAATTGTTATAAGCTAAGCTTTGTGTAATAAATATACAATCATGAAAGCAAAATAGTGAGGCCGATTTGGTAGAATAGATAACATAGTGATATATCAATATCACTTACAATAGTAATAGATTTATTGTTGTAAACGTAAAAATATATAGATATGTACCCAATTTTTTTGCTTTCCAAAATAGACAATTTTAACACACTTTTTTCAGGACAATTTTCGATAAGATGTATTGTGTTATTTCACAGATCTAAATACTTTAATTGCTTAGTTCAAAATAACACATTTCCATGCAGTACCTAACTTTAAACAATTTATTCATACCTACTTAGTTATTTTACTTACTTATGATTTATAGTATAGTATATAAGAAATCATTTACCTATAGCGGTGTTCCTTCCCACATCCCACATAGTATTTGGTTTTGTTATTTTAGAAAAATATTTACATTATATGGAATTAGATAATAAAATTAATCAAAAAGTATATAATGTAGGTAAATTATAAATGTCGAATACTGCCATCGTATTAAGACGAATAAATAAATGTATTGTTAGTATTATGTACTTATTATTATTCTGTGGTATTATGGAAAGACTTGACGTCTCTAGTCAGTAACGTAAGGTAAAGCATTTTAAAATCATGTTTATTTAATAATATGTAAAGTAATAGGTACATTCCTCAGTATTCAATATAATCCATATTAAGGTAAGTTCGCCTATCAAAACCTTATAATGTATTATTAATAGTCCCATACTTTTACCAAACTCAGTAAAATTTCAAAAAATTGCGTGTAGAGTCACAGCTAGCTACGCTACATTTTCAGGTGAATTATATTACCTTAGCGTAAACTGTCAAAGTATGGGTAATTTGGGATATAATTTTGCCAAACTTAATTTCCTTACCAAAATCTTAGAGCTAACGTTAGAATAATCAATCAACAGTCCATTTTGAGGTTTTTGTCATAAAATAAAATAACCTAATTATAGTAGGTAAATGTTAACGATGTTGCTTATTGGTAGTTATTATGTCGTTAAAGTACTATCGTATAATATTCCATAGGTATTATTATTATGTACTCTCAAATGTATTTGTTTAAGTAGATATAATGCCGTATACCTATTATAATAAATAGGTGGGTAGTGTCGTTGTTAGTGATGATTTGTCAATTTTTATTTCGTTTATTTAACCAGTCCGATCATAAAAATCTGTTTAAAATTGACTGTGCACTAAAAAATAAAGCATAAATAGGGTCCACCTCACCTTACTCGGTTTATTTAATTTACATCGATGACATAATAATAATCTGATGTATTCTATTTCTTCTATATCTGCTTCTTCTTCTTCTATTATTTATTGCGATTTTAAACAGGTCCTAAACGTATTTTGTAGGAATACCAACTAGTCAAAGTCAGTAGCGGCGTAAGGGGGGGGCGGTGGGGACGGTCCGCCCCGGGTGCCAAGCATCAGGGGGTGACAAAGTCGCGCAGATTAGTACTCACTGACGCATCTGCATGGCAAGGACGGTCGTGATGTCATGACAGGGGGGTGCCATTCTATAATTTATATTATGACGGNCGCCCCGGGTGCCAACCTATGCTACGCCGCCACTGGTCAAAGTGATATTATAACATACCTATCCTTACTACTATACTTACTTAAAGCTCTTGTTCTTTTGTTTTGCGTCTCTTTGTATTTAACGGTTTCATTTGACTGTCATGCTTTAACTAGTATACTTATTTACTTACCAATTTTTTTAACGAAATAGTAATCATAGCTTTTCTTAGCACAAGCAACAAGTAGCATCTACCATCTATCTCAATGAAAATTGAAAACTCGGTAAACTACAACACACAGCTATAAATTGTAAGAAAAACTGCTTAACTTTCGAAGACTTTTTCCAATATCTATCAATCCTGAATGTACACCGCTTCTATTACATACATAATCAACTTTTTTATCCTAAAGCTTAACAAACGTAAGTAAGACTTAAGTTAATAGTCTAGAAATGTAATGTTGCTAACAATAAATTAATATTAAATGGATGCAAGGCATTGTGTTAGATGTAAAATGTGTACCGATGTGATCTTTCGGATATTGTCTAAAACGCTTTGTTACAAGAAATGTAATACATTATTTTTTGTGCTAATGGACTTTTATTAAACCTACCATACCAACAATAGCAGTTTGATACTTGCCTAACCAAATATTCTTTAGTATTGAATTCAATCAAATCATAATTTATTATTACTAACCGTAAAAGATTCCCACTAGAAGAAATTTAATATGAATAGGAAGAAGAACTCTCTATGGCATATTACCTGAATAAGCGCCATCTACCAGCATCTATGGTTACTAAACTAGAGTTTACTGCCATCTATACTATTACTTCCAAACTATCTTCTTAGAAAAAATGGCTGGCGCTTAATTTTTAAATAAGTCACTAGATGTCGCTTATTTCGAAACTTCTTCATAATGTTGCCATCTTTGAGACAAACATGCATCACAGTATTCGGGAGATTTTATTTTTTTAGTTTGACAGCAATGTACCTATCTACATATTTTTTTGACATTTGTCATTGTTAAAGTAAATATCGTGCAGAAATATCCATAGTAGAGCACTGCTGAAGTCTATTGATTTTATTAATAACAAAATATAAATTTTACATGCCTTATTGTCTTTACTCAAATTATTGATTTTAAAAAATTAGCAGGTTTTTTTTTATCATAATGACTTAATGCAGTCATTTAGTCATAACTAAATAATTTTTTTATTTTACTATAATAAATATTTTTCAACTTCATCTTGAAAATATTATTGCTTCGCGCATAATATTCAATAATATTGTGAGGTACGTCGAGTCGGAGTATGGTAACCCTGGTTGCGGCATTCATTTATTTCAATTTTCATTCATTCGGCCAGAGGCTGTTGTTCGAGCGGCGCGCGTAGCGCTACGACCGTTATGGCGGGATTTCGTCAACAACAAAAGTTTCAATCAAACTTTTCAACTTCACTTCGATGAACTAAAACTTATTTTTCCTAACTAGACCGTATCAAAAACTGCACAGCGACCGTAAAACACGGTAAATAAGTGAAAGTTCACGGTCAGGATGTCGGTTAATTCAAAGTGGCGGTTACCTGACGTTTTTTGTGCTGGTGTGTTGAATGAATGTTGGAATTACGTTTAATTCGCATCGCGGGGATGGGTGAGTAAGTGGTCTGAGGTGATTTGGGACATTTCGCAATGCCTTTCGTGCAGCGTGTGGTTGAACCGAAGTATCTTTCGCGGACGAGTTTGCGGGACGAAGCCGGCAAGCCGAGAGTGACGGATGAGGAGCTTCAGGCGGTGACGAACTGCACCCTGAGCAATGCGCTGCGGCAGCTCGCCTCCCTCGTGCTGCTGGCCGAGGACATCTTCAGCGAGCTCACCTCGCAGCTCCAAGGCATCACCGAACGCTCCAAAGTAGCGCAGACGAAGATCGAGAGAATCAACGAGATCGTCGAGAAATATGACCCGAAGAAGGTGCCAGTCCGTGAGTATTTTTGTTTTTGTCTTTTTATCAATTTAACGACTGGTAATTATGTGCATTAGCCGTAAAAACGCGGGAAATAACCACACCTGCCCGACTCTACATGGCAACAATTAAGTGGCACCATACAAACGCGTGTTTTTTAGCTCTAATTCAGAAACAACATGTGCAAACGAATTGAAAATTTCATTATATGCACATAAAAAGTATGATACATGGTAGGCGCACGATACAAATTGGTTTATGTTTCACAATTCGGTAAAAAAATTGCGAGTTCGTCGTTCCGATGCGAATAAATTCTGACGTTACACGACGTTATTTTTCGTTGTTTGTAAATTAGCTCAAAGGTTTCTCGTCTTCCAAGTTTAATACTGTACTGTAAGTAATTCACAATATTAATGAAACGTTACCATCACATAAAATTCCAAATTCAGCCCCTGAATGCGACCTTTTTAAATACAAAAAAAATAATATTTGATATGACAATTTTTGATCAATTTATTTTCCAAAACTAATATTTTAATAAGCAAATTGGACCAGGGCCTATTTCCTACATTACCTACCTACCATCATTCCCGCCAAATGGTGAGCATGGGCGGGAAATCTAAGTGACCGGTAACGAAAGAAATACAGGTTTGCATCAATACGTAACCTACCTACCTACCTACCTTTCATTTTATACTTATCAGCAATGTACCTACTTATCTATAATTTGATATTTTCCTTAAACTCCGTATTTACCTACCTACATAAACAAATTGGCAGAGATAAACTCTATCTTAATAATCAAAATGGAATGAGGTAGAGGACTACTTAAACTAAATTAATTTGTTATTGCGAACTATTGATCTTATCATTTACTTAAATGCGAATGTCCTCATCGTTTTCGATCTAGTTTAACCAAATAGGCAGCGATAAACCAATACATAAGGCATTTTAACCTAAAATCTATCAGGTATAAGCCTATCTTATAGGCAAGTCAAGCTACCGTGACTTGTTTTCCGTAATCTTTCATTTACATTAACCTCTATGTTTGTGGCAGTAAATTACCTAATGAAGAGATAACCTACCTAGACCAGTCCATTGTAAACTCAGCAGCCTCGGCTGATAACCCACATGCCTAGGTAGGGCATGAATATCGGAATCTCGGAATCTCGTAATATCGGAATCTCGGACTGCGAGATCCGATATTTCAATTCCGATATTGAGCGACCCAATATCGTAATATCGGAATCAGATAAAAGTTTTAATTGAGATTTTAAACAAAGCGTTTAAACTCGCCACAACCTGCCACAAAGCCCAAAGTACATGATTGGCAAAGACCAATGATTTTCTCATGTTTCTCACCATCACTTTCTGTTCCACTGCAAATATTTTAATATCATTACTATTTATGGTTAATTTGACTTGTTCTAAATCAATTTCAGCATTTGCCATAGTCAACAAAGAACGACATCTCAACTCCCTTTCAAACATTAATTTTACTGGACATGGACCGTCAGTTCTGCGTACTATGTGCCCTGCCCATTGCCACTTCATACTTCACTCAGTTCACTTTAGCTTGCTAATCCGTCGGGCTATGTCAGCGACCTTAGTTTACGGAGCTCCTCATTTCTGATTAGATCTCGTAAAGAAACATCAAGCTTATCCCTCTCCATAGCACGTTGTGCACTATATTCAAAGGCCACGTTTTCGAGCCGTATATAATCACTGGTAAAACACACTAATTGAAGACTTTCGTCTTCGTTTTTGACGATTTACCTCTTTCTCG